CGTTTTTCTTAATTTAACGTAGCAAAAAGCCTATTTTTAGAATTATATAATTTATTTCCGCTTATAATACCGCCTTTTTAGTAATATAATTGGCCGGATATAATATTTAGCGGAAATTCCGGTACGTAAAGCACGTTTAATAACGTTATTTTACGTATTTTCCGGTTAATTTCGAAGGAAAGCGTAATATTTCTAATTTTTTTTGGAAATATTTTTCCACTATTTATAATAATCGGTGAAAAATCCGATTTTATAATAAAATTATCGAATAAATTCTTATTATTCGATATATGCTTTAAAGAACCCGTATCGTATAATTATTAATCCTTAAAGAGGGTGGTTAATCTTTTTTTTTTAAATTATTCGAAATATTCGAAAAAGTATAAAACGATTCGTTTTCGTTTAAATCTTCGTTACGGGGTAAATTTCCCCGTTTTTTAGATTTTTAGTTCGTGGTAAATATAATCGAATTTGAGTTATTCGACTTATTCGAATTATTCGAATTATTGGAATTATTCGAATTATTCGATTTTTTCCCTTTATTCGATTTATTCGAATTCTTCCTATTTCCGCTTTAGGTTCCCCGTTAATTCTAATTAGATCGGGGGAACCGGGATTTCTTATTATTCGTATAATAAAAATTTCCTATAGCCGTATCCGGATCCCGTCGGTTTTTATCTAAAATATCCGTAATTAACCCTTCGAGGGTAAGTAGATTTATAAACCGTAAAATATTGCGTTAACGGTTAGCCTATATAGGGTAAGCTGACTGGAGGGCTGTAATAAAAATCGTTTTTTAATCGATATTATCGATTTTAGCCCTAACGTTTAAAAGCTTTAAAATATATTTTTTAAAAATAAATATAAATTCGTTTAACGAATTATAATTCTCGAATTTAATCGTATAAAATTCGAGATATAATTATTAACGTAATACGGGTCCGGTGCCTTAATAGGCTAATTATAAAGTCGATAAGGCTTTATATAGATTTATTTTATCGAATATTAGATTTAACGGTTTTATTATTAAATTCTAACGAATTAAAAATAATACCTAGGCTTTTTAAATATCGGTTATACCGTTATATATATTGGTAGTTTTAAAAAACCGATCGATTCCTAGCAGTTTAAAATATAATTGTAACGTGGATTTTTACGTATTTTAGTTTCCGGATCCGGAGAATTTCTGTTTCTCCGGCATTTGGCATCCGGCAATAATACGGATAGAGTTATTTATTTTGCCGAATTTTTACCGTTATAACGGTATAATTATCGTTAAAAACGGTAAAGGAATCGTTAAGAAAAATAAAAATAAAAGAAATTAATTTTTTTATTTTATTAATAAAGTATATAAGGGGATTTAGGTGCTATAATATAATATAGCAGGTGCTATAGGGTGCTATAGCAGATCGGCTATTATAGTGGGGATTAGTTATAAATGACTTTATAGCCGTTCTTTATAGCCGTTATATAGCTGTAACGAGTAAAATTATAATTAGCCATTTAATTATAGTTTTCGATATAGTTACGGTTTATATAGGCTTATATAAAGGCCTATAAGAGATCGGCTATTATAACGGAGTTTTAGAGTTTACGTTAAATTAATTCGTTTGGGAGAACGGCTATAGTTTTCGATAATAAGTCCGGTATCTAATATAATCGATATTATACCGGACCGGGCTTATAACTTGTTTTAAGGTATAATTGGTGGATTATATAACTTAGGCATAGGGAAGCGTTTTTTATAATTCGTAGAATCAGGCCGTAGGAGTAGTTATAAGGCTATATAACTGATTTATTAAAGCTTAAGGAAAGAATAACTAACTACGGAGGAATAACTACCTTTTATACCTATAAAATTAATTAATAAGAATATTTTGGAATATATTACTAATAAATTGGATTTATAATTAAGTTAATTAGTAATAAGGTTGATTTATAATCGAAGAAACTATCGAAATTTATGGATTTTTATGGTGTGGGTTACCCTGTAACCTAGGGCTATTGTGGCCAGGTGCACTGGCTATACTTAGTGGGGCTGGATCTAGTGGAACGTTCTACTGGATTCCAGTGGGTTCTAGTGGCCATAGTGGCCATAATAGTCAACTGTAATGACTTATTGATTGTATAGCACTGTGAACAGTGGCTGTAAGTGGTGCTGTACTAATTGTAGGTTAGTATAGGGTAAGTTCCACTGATTTCCCATATATCGTTATTTAACGATATCTCGATGGGTTTTATAGCTGTTATAACGATATAATATGCGTTATAAAGCTAATTTTATACACTATACGATGCTGTATTAACATCCGTGTAATATTTTTTTATAGCTATTAATAAATATCGTAATTTATTACTGCTAATTTATTTTTATTTTAGCGTTTTTGCATTATTTAATTAAACGCGTAAAATTAATAATATAAAATACGGGATTTTTTTATTATATATAAGCTTATTAAGCTTTTATTATGACGCCTTTTAATAGGCTTTATTTATATTAATATAAGTGCGGTTAAATATTTTAAGTATTTTTATTCCTTTTTCGAGGCCTTTAATAAAATTAATAGCGTTACGTTTATTAGTTTTTTAAATATATTTAGCGATACGTAATTTATTTATTATAATAAATTTTAAAAACCCGTTATTTACGAAACCGATTAATTTAAAAATAATTATAAATATATTTTTTTATATAGCTTAATTATTTAAGCTTTTTAAATAGTATTTTTTATTAAAAAAAATCGAAATGCTTTTAATTTAATATATAATTAATAATTATATTTATAATAGGCGTTATTATAATTAATCGGCGCGATATAGCTTTATATATGCCTTTTTTATTTAAATTATTTTAAAAAAAAAAACGACGATAAATTTTTTTTTATTAGTATTTTGCCTTTAGCGCGAGCTTTATTATAAAATATCTTTTAGCGACGGCGTTTATTTTTTAATTTATTTAATAAATCGTTATATTAATTAAAAATAAATTAATTACGTTCCTTCCGTAATTTTTTTATAAATTCAAATCGCCGGATTAAAAGCTTATTATTTAAGGTATTTAAAAGCTTAATAATACGGATAAATTTATTTTTACCGTTACGTTAACGGCTATTTTTTTTATTATTTAAATAAAACGATTTAAGGTTGCTATTATTTATTACGCTTTATGCTTTTTATTTATTTTTTTAAGCTTTTACCTATTTTTATTTTGCTTATTAATAGCTTTTTTTTTTAGCTTAAGCTCGTTGCGTCGGTATATAGCTTCGAGGTTTTTATAATTAACCTTTATATTTTTTAGGTTAGCCGTTTATATAGCGATAATATTATTTTTTATTTTATTAAATGCTAATATAACGCGGAGGAGCTTTTTTAAATCGTTTTTAATTGCTTTTAAAAAATTAATATTTATAATATTTTCGTCGGGCTATTTAATATTAGCCTTATTATTAGGTTTAGTGATAATAAGCTTTACGGGAATATTATTATTAATTAGGTTTTATTTTTATACCGGATTTTAATTTGTTATAAGGTCTGCTATTATATTATTTATTTTAATACCTATTAAATGCTAAAAGTATAAAGGACTTTTTAATATCGGAGTAATGCTATTATATAAATAATTTTATAAAATTTATAAAATTATAAAATTATATAAACGATAGCAAAAAGGGAATTAATTAAAAAATGCGATATAATAATTATTTATAAGCCTAAAAATTGCCAATTTCCCGTTTATATAGCCACCTACGGTAATAAATCCGTAGGCACCCGGCTATAGCCGCTTCTGGACTCTTCCACGATCCTTTGTTGACTATGGGCACCAGCAGGCCCCAGCGCCCTCCGCCAATATAATATGTTTGAATTTGTTGCGCCAGATGCAGCAAGGAGGTACAAGTATAATTAACGTCGCTTCAAATTGGAGCCAACATATATAGAACCTTGTCACTCGCTTGAAAATATATCTTTGACACCCACGCTTTGCTTTAACTCTATCAAGATATCCCTACTGACTTGTCTTTGAGAACATAATAGTTCCCTCAATCGCAATATAGACCATGCATCCAAGTTGTTTATTTGTTCATGCACCCAATACTTGCGTTTCCAGGCCCATCATTCCCTTCGGTGGTTGAACCCGCGATGAACTCCATGACACGCAACCGCGGATGGGTAATCAATATGTATTATTATTATCGTCAATAAAATAAAGCGCTGTCATCATCCAGTGATTAGGTATCTGGTAATTGTGACGCAGAACCGCCAACACGCCCGAAAGTAATAAATTAATGATAGCAAAACCAGAGAAATATCACAAACATACAAGCTGTTTTGGACGTTGACGGTAAATGATCATCTTCAAATGTAGGCAATTACCCACCCGCACGTTTAATTTATGCTTTTTTGGAGGAGCGGGGTTTGGGTATTGCTGATTCAGGTAAGGATAATAGCCATGCGAGCCATGCTATCTATTACCTAGGAGCGATGTAGTTAGTGTCCATGTAACGTTTCCCTTGTCCCTCCAGGGATTGATGATATCCTAAACTCCCCTGCCCGGACCATGATTATCCAATGACTTTTGACCTGATTCAACGCGGTGAGGCTCTCCAACGGCACAGGACCGAGGAAAGCGATTGAACCCCCTCATGATCATCCCCCGGCCCCCGGATCTTCACCGATAAGGTCGAACCACTCCGACAAGGGGTGTTCCGAACCCAGCAACCAGAACCCTTGTTGGCTTGCTTGCTTGCTGCTGTGCAGCTGCATTCGGTGCCGATAAGCAGCCATAAAAATGGCACATGACAGCCAGGTCGCACAGATGCAGAGCTCGTCAAGCTCGTGAGTTGTTTTTCCATTTCTGACAAGAGGGAATTTCTCAGCCTCGAAGGAGTTTGTTTCAAACGGGACCTCATACCTAACTTTTTTTCGGTTCCGTTCCCAAATATAGGGACGTCCAGGACAATACTATAGACGACCACAGTCCCATTCTGGCTGCCGCAGCTCCGATGGCCTCCTCCGATCCGGCGCCGGACGACGCCAAGCCCGGCGTGATTGCCGAGAGCGCTGCAGTGATTACCGAAGCCATCAACCAAGAACACGAGCTGTCCTTTATTGAAGCCGTGAAGCTCTACCCGAGCGCCGTGGGATGGTCTGCATTTGTGTCCATTGGCGTGATTATGCTGGCCTTTGATCCGCAATTGCTGGGTAATCTGTACGCGACACCGCAGTTTCAGCGAGATTTTGGTTACGAGTATAATGGAGAAGTAAGCCGTCTATTGACCATCTGTTGGGTACTTATACTAATTGCCATGTCTATAGTATATCATTAGTATGGTCAACCCAGAATAACCTACTTATCAATGACTTGGCCTCACTAACACAAGACTTCTCACAGGCGCGCCATGGCAGACCGGCCTATCAATGGGCAACCCAATCGGCCAAGTAGTCGGCGCTCTAATCTCGGCATACCCAATGGACCTGTTTGGACGCAAGATCACCTTTGCCGCGTGCGTCATTCTCACGGCCGGACTAGTCTTTATCCAATTCTTTGCCCGGTCCCTGTCGGTGCTGCTGGCCGGCGAGCTCCTCGGCGGCCTCGTGCTCGGCTGCTACGTCGTCATTGCCCCGGCCTACGCCTCCGAGGTCTGCCCGCTCGCCCTCCGCGCGCACCTCACCAGCTACACCAACCTCTGCTTCGTCATTGGCCAGCTCCTGGCTAATGGTGTCACCGCCGGCACGTCCAAGCTCGATAATCACTGGGCTTATAGTATTCCCTTTGCTTTGCAATGTAAGTGATGAATAATGCGGTTGCTGTTCCGACTCGAGACAGATTGAGATATAGACGAAAGAGAATCATGATAACGCTGTGAAGCAACCACGTCAAACAGTAGCTAATCTCGTCACCACCGCACAGGGTTCTGGGTTCTAGTCATCCTTCCAGGCATGTTCTTCGTGCCCGAGAGTCCCTGGTGGCTCGTCCGCATGGGCCGCATGCACGAGGCCGAGGAGGCGCTGCGGCGGCTGTCGTCGTCAAAGGTCAACGTGTCGGCGACGCTGGCCGTCATCGCCGAGACGGACCGCCTCGAGCGCGAGATCGAGGCCGGCAGCACCTATCTGGACTGCTTCAACCGCGCCAACTGGCGCCGCACAGAGATCTCCATTGGCGTCTACTGTACTCAGGTCCTCAGCGGTATCTATCTCATTAATTATGGTACCTACTTCTTTCAGCAGGCTGGTCTCGCTACCGAGGACTCATTTTATATGAGTATTGGATTCCTGGGTGAGTTTCGCTACTCCGTCATCCCCATACAGGGGTCACTCTGTCAGTTTCAACATGCTAACTCTAGTGGGAACCCCTTTAGCTGTCGGATTCGTTGGAACCCTTGGCTCATGGTTCCTAATGCTACACTTTGGACGTCGCCCCATCTTCGTGCAGGGGCTAGGGGTGCTCGTCATTCTGCAGCTCATCATTGGCATCCTGGACTGCGTGCCCGGCCGGCCCTCGGGCGTGGCCTGGGCCGAGTCGACGCTGATGCTGATTTGGAACTTTGCCTATGACCTGTCCATTGGCCCCGTGTGCTTTGCTCTGCTGGGCGAGTGCTCCGCCGCCCGCGTCCGCTCAAAGACCATTGCCGTCGCCACCGCCGCCCAGGGCGTCATTGGCATCATCATGACCGTCGCCATTCCCTACATGATCAACCCCGACCAGGCCAATATGCAGGGAAAATTGGGTTTCTTCTTTGGCGGTCTGGCGGCCTTGTGTTATGTGTGGGCCTACTTCCGAGTCCCCGAGACTCGTGGCAGAAGTTACGACGAATTGGACAGTGAGTATATCTTGTCTACGAGTTTCCCTCATTTTCATGTTCGATTGCTGGATAGAAAGAAACTGTTTGCTAACACGGATCCACAGTGCTCTTCAGCAAGAATATTCCGGCAAGAAAGTTCAAAGATTACAAAGTCGATGGGGTTGCAAACGCAGAAAACTAGATGCTCAAAATCTAGCCAAGCAGCAAGGCGAAAATCTTCAGTCTTGTTCTTCAAAATTAGATATTCGTGTGCTATGTATTGGGGGTATACGCTGAAGAAACTTTATCCTCTCTACTCTGCATTTGGCATGAAGTGATCCAAATCATTACAGCGTCCCGTCATATGATTATATAGGCTGTAAAGCCTAATGTTGATAGGTAAATTTCCACGGCGATTACGGGCCGTTTTGCAGCAGTGGGTTCCAAAACTCCATGTCCCATATGGCAAAATCATCAGCCATCTGAAAAGATTTAGTATGTACCGAGACAATGGCAGAATGGCGCTCAAACGTACCGTAATATTAGGGAGATCAGGTGAAAACATGAATGGCTGCTGAGAGTTCATGAAACCTGGTGCATTGCCCATGCTATTCATTGTAATGGGCGACGGTTGCAGAATCTAAGTCCATGTAAGTAATTTGATAAACTTGACAGAAAATGGGCCATCTTACTGGTAATGAGGCAATGTCAGTCTGGCTAGTATGTATTGAATGAAGACCAGCATCGACAATGGCGCGCAGACCATTAATCACCCTTTGATGTACGACTTCGACGGGCCCGCCACGGCAATGAGCCAAGACCACCGTCAGCGAGACTAGGTCTTTCAGATCCGTTCCAATCTCCCTAATTCGACTGTTCATGGCGTCTAAAGCTCTCTCCAAAACGGACACGAGGCGAGAGGGAGACAGAAGCACTGAGCTCTCGGTAGCAAGAAGACATGCTTCTGCGAACGAGTCTGGCCTTGATGCAGATGTGTGCGAGTATGGTTGCGGCGATGTGCTTTCTTCATCGGACAAGTCAGCGACATGTTTGATATAATAACAAACACTGAAAGCCGCCTGCAAAAAATCCTGTTTCAGTACAAGATGATGCATGTGAAAGATTTGAGTATAGTTTGGACTGTCTCTATCCAGATCGTCCATGTAAGTCAACATGACTACTGAGGACCGTAGGTAAGACGTTAAAATCTCTTGGGGTACATCTGGCGTGCTCAAAGCGAATGGCCTATACAGGGCGACCAGAGCTCGACGCAGGTGCATGTCCAAAATGGTCTTGGTCAACCATTGACGTGTTGCCTCCTCGGGGGTCGTGGGTTGCTTGCGCAGCAAAATATATCGCATATCATCAAAAATCCGTTCCAGGGAATTGCCGCAATCAATGACCGGCTGGTAATCCGTCAAGGTGTCGAGACCATTGATGATTTCTATGACCTTGAAGCGGACAGAGAGTGTACTTGCGGCAAATACTTGGATCTGTGAGTCTGTAGCCTGATCAATCGGCTTGGCCTCGGGTAGCTCTGTCATTTCCATGGTGATATCCCCATCGTCGACGTTTCTGGGAGGCCGGCAAGTATAATCTCCTTCACGAATACAAGCTGGCATATTGCATTGAATGCACATTTGGAGATCAAGCTCCAATATGGTGTACCAAACCCTACGCCGCAGTTCTCCCCAGAAAGGTGATATTTTCTGAGGGAATTCTGACGGATCCCTGTGTAAACCCATCGTCATGGCCATTCGCACTATTAACCCGAGCTGCGTCCAAGAGTCTTGGTTGTTGGGGTTTATCATGCGCTGAGCCATCAAGAGAAGAACTTCGGCCTGGAGAGTACCAAAGTCCATAAGATTCTTGCCCCTAAGGTTATGCAGCCACTCCTTGACTAATGAACATGCAGTCGGTATGTGAATACTCTCCCGGTCCGGGCCATAACCTGTTTCTGAACCATAGAACCGATAGCCAATACACAACATGGAGAGCAGCTGGGGGAGGAATGATTCAGATTGCAGCGTTCCGTCCCACCACCGCTCGTACTGATTCGTAAAGGTAGGGATGTGGACACTTCGATACAGGGACTCTGAGCCAGCCAAAAAGACTTGAAGCAAACGATCGCAGACAACCCTCTTTGGTAGAATGTCTGCCATACGTTTGTGCACAGGATTGATTGAATCGACGTAAACAGTGATGGGAGCAAGTGCTTTTGCCTGTTCCACCTGGAGGCTCTTGTGAATTTTTTGTATGTTGGTGAAGATCTCCCTGACGCTATGAGGTTTGGTTTTGCTAAACATGAACTCTTTTGCCTCGTCAAACTGGAAAGTAAAGGTTAGCTGTGGTTCTGTGACCAAGAGAAGAAGTAACACTGACTAGATTGAGAAGGACCCGAGTGCTATTCTGTCCAAAGAATCTGGTCCGCAGACTGCCCTTGACTGTCAAGCCACGTATAGTCGTAGTGGATGAAGCAAGCGGCGGAGCACGCAGATTCAAATCTTTAACCAGCGGACTCTTTGCATTCGACAGCACAAGTTTTTCCAGTCTTTCCAGTCTCAAGCCATAGTCTTCCCATAGACTGATTGGGACTGTGAGATTCCGGTCCCGTGTTTTGGACGCTGATGCAGGACTCTCAGCGTTGATGGGCAAAGCTTGCTTCTTTGGCGGCCTGTCGGGCACTTCGGCGTCTGAAGCATCGGATAGGTTGTTGACATCGCCATCTGCAGCATAGCGACAATTACGATTTGATTTCTGGCACTGCGAACATGGCAAAAGCCTGTCGCATTTTAACTTTCGATTTCTGCACTCTATGCAGGATTTGACAGGCCGAGGTCTCTTGACACTTCGCGAAGAGCCACTGGCATTCCCTGCTGAGCCAAGGGAAGCATTTGCATTATGGCTACTGTTGTTGTTGTTGATATTGTTATTGTTGCTGCTGCTGCTGGTGACTTCGTGGGCCGACGACGGCGTGCCGTGGTCGGCCATGGTGAGAGGTGGAGGAAAGTATGTATGAACGCCAAGCCTCTGCTGATTCTACGGTAGCAGAACACGGCGTAGCTAAATGTTATACCCGCTGAAGGAATAGATGCGGCGAAAGTGGGACCTGGTCTTCGGCTGACATGGCCGGGGATAGGATGCGCGCGCAGGGAGCGCTCACCGGTGATGCGGACACGGCATTGGACACGGGAAGGCGTGCTGCGGGCCCCGGGTATAGCTGAGCAGGCAGTAGATAGCTTGGTCAGTCAGGGAGGACCAATCTGCCAGTCAGCCTGGAATACTTTGCGTCAAACGGCTAACAAGCAAACAAGCATCGACCCTTATTTCCTCAACACACTAGGTAAACTCTGGAGTGCAGTACCCAGATTGATCAGCGGGTAGGAGAGGAGAGGGGGAATAAAAAGTTCAGCCCGTGTGCGAATAGGGCTTGGTAGGGTGGTAAGTAGGTGAAAGTATGTAAAAGGGAAGAGTGTGAGGTTTGGTACCAAAGTAAGTAAGTGTGTTAGAAAAAGAGGCTCGCTCGCTCGCTCACCCATTCACTTATTCACTCGGCCGAAGCAGCCGAGGATCTCGTCTGAGCAGAAGGGGAACTCGTTACAGATTTGGATCGAAAATGGTCCAATAAGAGAAGACAATTTAGCATGCAGATCCAGTAAACAGACTGGAATCAACTAGAGCATCGTCCGAGTCCAGAGCGAGGCCAGGAGCGAGCGCATCGCCGAGGATGTTTGCATCCAACTAAAAGTGACGGAGAGGCGAAAAAAAAGGACCCAAGCAGGCCAAGCTACCAGGTAGCGTAGCAGGCAGTAGGTGAGCTAACAGGCGACGGGTGACGGGTGATCGGCCGCTGCCATCGGTAGATTTTGTGCTGTCCCACTGTCTTAACTTTTTGTTAATTCCTTGTACCGACCCTTACTACATGCAGTACTGCTACCACCAGCGAGTGTACAACATATATATTCGCATTGGTTCATTCGCCTTGCCAGGGACTTTTGAGCATCGGCCCTTTCAACAGCTGCTTTACTCTGCGGCGTCATGCAGGTGCGGGCGTATCTCAAATGGTACCTAGGTAAGGCAGGTCTCTAAAGCATACCGGAGCAATTGTAGGTAAAAAGTCGCTTACGATTCAGCGGCTAGACACATGGGGGCTCTTCATCAGCAGCTGTAGGGGCACATCGTGAAAAAAAAAGATTCCAGTACAAAAGAACAACCCTCCCTTGTCTCATTCCATGTTGGCAGGGCCCCCACGTGAGTTTTTGGCACTGGATCTTGCCGCTGCAGTAAATCACTTGGCCTAGTTTGGCTAGCTGTTCGAGGGACATGGACTAGATGGGCTAATTGTTGCTCCGAAAGTCTATCACAAGGTGGCAGAGGTGGCAGGACAACTGAAGTGGTTTTTTTTTCTGACGGCGAAGCTCGGCGTCTGGGATAAATTACAAACGAGTGACGCCAGTCTTTGTTGGGCCAGTCTAGAATGCATGAACATGTTGCCTGCTCCAAGTATGTCTGGCAAACCATGTGCAGCTGGACGAGAGTATCCGGGCAAGCATCCAGAGATGGAATGGGTACCAGAAAGGCGATTGCAATTCCTGTCCTCGCCTAGACGAATCGGGATACGTACGTGTGCTTGAAGCTGCATGAGATATAGGCTGACATGATACATCACTCAACCCAACCTAGAGTACCGTTTTACATGTCAATAAAACCCGCTTAATAAGTTCATTGACCTAAACGGGCTGGGCTGGGGATCAATTGAATTTCGAGTCGCATTTTCATATTCCCCAAAAAGTGCTTTTCTTGCGGGCTCCATTGCAATCACGCTACTAAAAAGTACAGTGCCTATGTAGGTAGGGTATGTACATTTTATTTTATTCTTTGGACCCCATTGATGTGCGTGTAAGCGTCATGTACCGAACGATAGGTCCCTCAATTGGTCCCCTGGCCGTCCCGCTGCGGCTTTCGGATCCGAAAGCTAACAGGGGGTTTTGCCTCCACAATCTCCAGACTCGCATGTCACCTCGCCCGTCCAACCATGATTTGGTCCAATCACCTGCCCCTGCCTGAACGCCAATCCTGTCACCCTGCTTGCGAGCCAAGCTTACACATGTCTGCAATCCCGTCACCAACAACTCACAAAGAAAGAACAAAAAATTGTTGAGCTGGCAATCTACACACACAAAACCCTCGGAGACTCAGAAATCCCAGACAGACGAACAGTACATACCGAACAGAGGAGGACAGACATCACGACGATCAACAAATATCGGCTGCTGCTTTCCAATGCTTTCGACCAGTCACACTGATCGACAAACCTCCTCTATCAGATCCTCCCATACCGAATAAGCAAGGCTCCGATCATTATCCTCAAGCAGTAAGGCACTCGTTTCGAAAATGATCTTCTTTTACCATGTGAAGAGGTCTATGGGGAATGGCGTGTCACCAATCTTACAACGGTACCTATGGTGCAAAGACGTCTTGGCCTGATATGATTTCTCATCTTACTGGGACCCTTCTTTTTTTTTCTTTCTCTTTTCCCTCTTTGGAGTATGTGTATCGGTAATAAAAATGGGTGGTGGATGATAGTACTACTACGATTGCCGCGTGGAGCCACTGGTCCGAGTAGCCGGGTCACCATGGACAGATCGTGACCGCCGGGCACGAGCAGTCCTTCCTCGAGAACGGACCGGCGGCGATTCAGCTCTGCCCCGCGTCACCTCTTCCCTGTTGTCTTGTGGCGATGAGGCCCGGGAAGTGGGCGGTCTGCTTCGGCTGAGGCTTCTTCGCACTTTATCTCTGACGCGGCTGGCAGCTCGGCTCGCGGCCCGGTTGAAGTTATTGAAGTTATCCCGGCGACTGACCCGTCCACGATCCTCGGTGTCCTCCGAGGCGGGCACACCCATCTCTTCAAAGGTCTCTGCCGGCTTCGAAGTGGCCGTCTTTGCTGGCTTGGAGGTGGGATCTGCTGCCTTTGGGGTCGGTGGCTTTGTGGAGGCCGGTGATGGCGGCGTCTTTACTATCTGAGATGGGACAATGTTAAAGTGCGCCTCCATCCGACGAGCGAGGATCAACGCTGCTTCAATCTCTGCCTCTGGAGTCTTTTCGCCAGGGAGAGACCGAAGGAGTTTCTCCAAGTCCTTGTATGTGCCCTCGCAACTGCCCCCGGTTGGCTCGGCCACCAACCGTTGTATAATGTTCACGCCTCGCTCGGCGTCTGATTTTTTAATGTCGGGTCTACCCCTGATTAGCATATTTAATGACGCCCAGTCGCGCGGAAGGCCGGACAAGGTCTGGTCTTTGTGAAGTCGATTGTACTTTGCCAGGATCGCGGCAGCCTCGGGGCCGGCATCCTCCTGTTCTGGTTGCTGGGAAACTGCTTCTTGTGTCTTGCGGATTTTTGTCGATTTGCGGACGACGCCATCGCTTGGAGGTTGTGAAGCCTCACGTTTCACAGCCGGACCGAGGGACTTTGCGCGATGACGAATTGCGGTTGACCTTCTGAGGACGTTTCTTCTCAATGCTGTGGTGAGTTAGCTTGGCATTTTCATATGCGGATCAAAGGAGCTATAGATATAGCTCGTTGGTTATATACCTGGCGGACCCATATTCAATAGCGATCTGATCAGAGGTGAGTTGACGTTGTATAGTTGAGAATATTAGTCATCAATGTGAATGCACGCCATGCCAATTTCTTCTACCTGGGCATCTCATTTTATATCTTTGGTTGGATCTAATATGTTCAGATCTGGAAAAGGCATCAACGTTTTGAAGATTTGGGAAAGTGGTCAAAGAAGAGCCTAGAAAGGCGCAGGAAAATCCATACCCATTTTTAGAAGTTGTGAGAACAGTCTCCAGCAATAAAGGAAATCGTTTGACTTGCAATTCTAACAATAATAGGCCATTTCTAAATCATGTTTCAAATATTCCTTTCTTTTCCTCTTTCCCTGGAAGCCACTTGAACCACAGGTTTCATGGTGAAATCGGAGACATGATTATATCCACTCTGCGTCGGGTAAGAGTATTCTATTGATGGTGGTCATTTCTAAAGTTGGTATATCCAATGCCAAGACCTTTTTTTTAACTTCTCTTCAATGCTAAAAATCCAAATATATACAACGCAACAACGTATCTAGTGAGCGGCAGCCTGCAGCTCCTCCTCAACCTGCTTCTTCACAATCTCGCGCACCGCCTTCCAGTCATTGTTGACCTCGGTAACCCTCTTCTCCTTCTGCTCCAGGCCAACAAACTCAGTAGGCAGCACGTTCTCCTCGAAGCTGAAACTAGGCTCGCTCTTCAGAGCCATCTCAACGGCACCGGCGAACTTGGCAGGGTGTGCCGTGGACAGAGAAATGTGCGGCGTCTGGGGAGCCTTCTGAAGCGACCGTGCAGAAGCGGCAACACCAACGGCGGTGTGGGGGTCCAGAACGTAGGAGATCTTGTTGAAGTAAGACTTGATAGTCTCAACGGTCTGAGAGTCGCTAACACGCTCACTGTCGAAGTCGCGCTTGGCGGCTTCGTGGACGTCCTTGTACACGGGGCCAAAACCACCACTGGTCTTGAGCTGCTTCAACCATGATGCAACTTCTTGTCCGGCCTGCTTCTTGTTCCACTCATCGTCCATCTGAGCTGACTCGGCAAATTCATAGGCCAAGAACCACAACAGCCGCTCAAAGTTACTCGAGACCAGGATATCCATGGCGGGACTCAGAGTCTCCTTGGCGCCATCCTCGTGGGCCTTGACGCCGTCCTGGGGCAGGCCACCTTGTGCCTCCGCTCCGTGGGCAGCTTGCTTCTCGTACTTGCCTGTCTTCCAGAACCGATCCAGAATGTCATTCTCGTTTGTGGCAATCACCAGCTTCTCAACGGGGAGACCCATGCGGTGGGCAAAGTAGCCAGCAAGGATGTCACCAAAGTTGCCCGTCGGCACGACATATCTGACCTTGTCGCCAACCTTGAAGTCCGGGTTGGTTTTGGCGAGCGAGAAGTAAGAGTGGTAGTAGTAGACGATCTGAGCGAGAATGCGGGCCCAGTTGATGGAGTTGACAGCACCGAGGTTGAGGGTCGAGTTGATGTCGGGGTCGGCGAAGAGAGCCTTGACAATATCTTGACAGTCGTCAAAGGTGCCCGTGACGGCCAAGTTGTGGACGTTGGCGTCCAGGACAGTGGTCATCTGGGCCTCTTGGATGGGGCTCACACGGCCCTTGGGGTGCAGAATAAAGACAGAGACATCCTTCTTTCCGCGCAGACCGTAGATGGCTGCCGAGCCAGTGTCACCACTCGTGGCTCCGACTACGGAGAGGTGATGCCTGTCTGGATTTCATTATGAGCAAATTGCCCTCTATATCGTTACCTTGTAGCTGGGGTACTTACCGCGGCCGGTCTTGCCCTCGTTTTTCCTCACCAGGAAGTATTCAAAGAGGTTGCCGAGGAACTGCAAGGCGACGTCCTTGAAAGCAAAGGTCGGGCCATGGAACAACTCGAGCAAGTACAGGTTGTCGTGGAGGTGTCGCAAGGGTGTCGTCTCTGGGGCACGGAAAGTCGAGTAGGAGCGGTCGATGATTCCCTTCAGGTCTTCCCGGGGAATCTCAGATGGCGAGATGTAAAGCGAGAGGATCTCGAGGGCCAAGTCGGCAAAGGACAAGTCCTTCCAGCTTTCCCATTGGCTGGCGCTGGGAATCTGCTCTGGGATATACAGGCCGCCATCGTTGGCGAGACCCTTGAGAACAACATCTTCAAAGGAGAACTGCAAAGGTGGAACAATCAGTATGCGCCCGTTTTTGGCGGTGGCTCTCTTAAGGGGTTCGTCGTACGTCGTAGTCGTCTCCTCGGGTACTCAGATACCTCTGAGGAGAGCCAGTGCTCGTTGTGCCATTGGCGACGCCGTTCGACATTTTGGCTGGTGTTTTGTGGCTGTCGCGGGGGGGAGATGAATATGCGACTATGTTGAGGCGTCGTTCACTGATCGATCGATGTACAGTAGGTCAAGTCAACAATGCTCGAAATGGCGGGGTGATGGTATCCAGAAAATTGCAAACAGTCACGACAGATTGGCTGCGAGATCGGTCTTGCACTGGCACCCCGCACTAGGACTGTTAGCGTTAGCATGGCTGCAAAGCCCCTGTCTTAGTGGCAGATGGGGAACCAATCCAACAAGATCCGGGTGCGGTGAACATGAATTTTATTCTTCAGAATCGTAAATATTCGTATCCCAACAGGTATATAATTAGATCATGGACATGAGACTTTAGCTTTTGCCATATACAACCAGCCAGTAAGAGAGAACTCAAAGGTAATCATTCAATAAGTGGTTCCATCTGCACCTCGAAAGGGAAGTTCCAGAATCTCGACTCGCAGGGGTCTCAAGTCCAGGCAATGATACACTCACTCGGTCTGTGCACAAGCCGAAAACCTCATATTATTACTCCATACTCCTCTAAACTCCTTGTTCCGATTCCTGACCTTATCCAATGACTCTTGATCATAGCTCATGATCATCTATATTTGTGCTGTTATGTCCGATATCGTCTTATCAGACATTTTCTGTTTTGTATTCACCTATTGTTGCTTTTGGCAATTGCAAATGGTCATTGACTCGAAACCAGCCTGGCAAAACACCATACGCTACTGATAGTGTGATGCTACTGACATGGATCGCTTCCTGTGGCTCTGGATTTCTGCCCTCTTCTCCGGGTTAATAGTGGGATCATTGGCCACGTCGCCATCGGCACCTGGGTTGGCCATCTAGAGAATGGTTAGCGAGATGGTTCTGGAACGGACGACAACAACAACAACCAGAAGCAGCGTACCTCATATTCCAGAGTCTTGATGAAACGATAAAAGACGACTGCGATCAATGCCCCCAGGATTGGGCCAATCCAATAAATCCAATGTTCTGCCTCGTATTGTCCCGTCACAGCACAAGGACCAAAACTTCTTGCTGGATTTAGACTACCCCCAGTGAACGCTACGCCCACCAGCTCGGCAATGAACAAAGCCAGACCGATGCCGACAGGCGCAATAAACGTGGCCCGGTGCTTCTCTTTGGCCAACATGAAAATGGTAAAGACCAGCTCGGCCGTCAGGATTGCCTCGATAAAGACGCCCTGTACGAGACTGACGCCGTCACTAAGGCTGGTGCGAACACTGAAACTCCCGGGGAACAGGAAGCGGACAATGACGGAGGCGAGCAATGCCCCGAGAATTTGGGCCACAAACAAGCACCCGGCTCGAACTGGCGGGATGGCCTTGACGAGCATCATGGCCAGGGTAACGGCAGGGTTGAATAGACCACCGCTGATTCGAAAGAAGATCCACACATTGACCATGAGGGAGAAGCCAAAACAAATGGAAATGTAAAGCAGCCTGGCAATGTCAAAATTGGAGTCACTGGCCTGTGACCCTAGATTGGCCACTTCGGTACCGGCAAAAGCGAAGAAGAGAAAGAGTGACGTTCCGATGAACTCTCCCGTGCTGGCGACAAAGTGGTTCTTGAGCTCCGAGTTCATCCAGTGCGTCAATGGCAGGCGGAGAACTTCAACCTTTTGCTCGCGACTTAGGCTGCTCCACGTAGGAACGTAACCCATCTCTTCGTCCCGGATGCGCAGTTCGCGCTGGGAAGCTGTCTCATCAACAAAATATGGCTTTGAAAGAGATATCGACGAGTCAGACCCGTCCCAAAGACTGCGGTTACGCCACGCCTGTGGCGGCCGAGTGCCTTCGCGCATCGATCGTTGTCGTCCTGGGAATCTGTCCATGTCGCGGCTGCGCCAGGCGTCCCGGTCTCGCTCGTAGTAGTAGTCCTCATCGTCCCAATCGTCCCGATCATCACTGCGAAGGGGTCTAGTTGAGCGTTGTGACCTTGTAGACCTCAAGGATCGCGCAGACATGGGGCCGTCAAACTCATTTGAGTATCCGGTTTGATATGGTATACTCCTACTGAGTGGTCTCTCTCTGCGATACGCGCCAGCGGAGCTTGCGCTCCGGCTAATACCAATTGGTGGAGGAGTCTGTGTAGGTAATGGACGCGGCAGACCACCAGCTGCCGGCGGAGTTTGTGTAGGCGTTGGACATTGAAGACCTCCAACCGTTGGAGGAGTTAGTGAAGGCATGGGTGGAACATCACCGCCAGGCACCTGAGTGATGAAATCACCCGATCTGTTGCCCGCAGATGTCGGCGATATGTCCGATGATAGTGAGCTATGAGCACGGTGATGGCCTGCCATGGTGTTGCGAATCGAAGTGATCGGACTAGACGCCTTCGTGATGAACAGAGGCAGAACCAGTCAGCTTATGACGGTGGTATAAGTCGTGACACGTACTTTTGAATCTTATTCTAAGATGAGATGGTTTGATTTATATCAACGGTCCGAGGTATGGTGAATGCGTATAGTCTAGAATAGATGAGCTAAGATATAAGCCGCCTTGTAGTATCCTCGGCACTGCCCCAAGCTTCACAGTTGTAGATAATCTATACACTAGAACATTTATTTCTTCAGAAGCTCAAACACATAGTCGATTCCACTAATGAAATTTTCTCTTTCCACTTGCCGGTCCGCCAGTGACATAATCTCCGTCATTATCTGTCGATTGGGGCCAAGAAAGTCCCCAGACTGCCACGGTATAGACCAAACCCTTTTTGCTCAAGTGAGTGGTGTGCGGAATAAGAAACTGGGAATAGAAGACGCTAGTTGAGGAATTTACATATAAGCTGTCTTTTCGGCACCATGGGTACGCGGTCGAAGGGACGACGTGCAAGAAAGCATGTTCCTGGATGCGGGCAGTATACAGAAACCGATGATCTGCACATTCCGGTGCCGGAATAGCGAAGAGCGAGGATCACTCAACACTGAGCATTGAGATCAGATTTCGATATCACCCGCTGCGCAATTCCTATAGGCAAAGAGAATCTATCGGTTCTCTCTTTTCTTGGCAACCGTCCTGAAACACCTAGCCAAGTCTCAAGGTCCTCTCTTTCCAATCAAGCAAGAGATCGGGGAGAATCTGGAGCATATGGCCCGTGCTATTTGGGGAGACGTTAAGTGCCTTCCAACGTTTACCTGGTTCATCGCTGTATGAAACCCGTACCCCCCGGCCCGAATATCGTGAGGCAAGCCCGCAAACATAGCCCCAGGCTACTCAGCGCTAGCGGTCACGATCGTGGTCGCAGATCTAGTAGAGGCGGATCGTGATGAAGTCCGGGGATTCACATTTGGGAAAATTCCGCTTCGAAAATCAGATGTGCAATTATAGGGCCCTTGGTGTGCAGGCGTCACCTATGATAGACTTGGCTTGAGTTAATTGGTGTGGGGGTGGTATCTTGGGAGCCCGGGGACGCTATTGTATACTATAGGCTCCTGACTAGACGGATAGTCCGGTCCCAATAGAGACAGCCTGCTGATGGAAAGGGACAATGGAAGTGAAAAGCAGAAGCCGTTATCTTATTCAACACTTGAAGCTAGCATGTAAAGAGCCCATTGCTACGCAATAAGAGTGAATGAGTCAGAGATTATGAGCCCCCCCTCTAGACTTGGGGCTCATTGCGCGACTCATGGTTCGTATAGAAGAGCAACTAGATCTTCGCAATCGCTGCTGATTACTCCGTCATACGCTAGAGAACAGCACGGGCAAAACCAGGTTGCGTTCCTCCCGCCAGGATCATCCACGTTTATTGTGCGTGTACGGCGCATTGCAGGCAAGAATGCTTGTATAAGAACTTTCTAGAATGATAGGGACGCGCATCAGAAATTTCATTTTATCCGGAATCCGAACACACAATTGATCTCCCTACACCATTTGTACGGCTTTTCAAAAGGTGCTGTTCAATACGGCAATTACTGACAGGTCGATGAGGCGATGATCTATGACATTAAACATAGCAGGCTGTCCTTCACTACGTGCATGAACGGTCTGCTCTGTACAAATGTACAGCCACTGCTAGACACGGTCTACTTGTCAAGTAGACAAGTCGCCCTATCGGAGTACATGACAGTACGGTCTGCACTCACAGTTCCAAGGCGTAATTCTTGGGAACTCGCAGCAGATACCAGCGCTACCGGCAGTTGACTGTTCATGGACTAACAATTAGTGTTACTTGTAAAAATGACAGCGCAGCTTCAAACAGATTACCTTCAGTGACTAAACGAAAAGATCGTGATACCAAGTGGGATTAATATTCTAGATAGATGTTTGGGAACTAAGTGAATGCTTTATGGCTCAGCCACGTAGTAAGGCTAAGTATCACTCCATCGATTGTTGTATGTGCCGTGCCTTGACCGGCCTCTCAAATTTCCCATAGATTTGCGGGTAAAAAGTGCCACCGATTTCGTTTCCGAACCGACCTGACGAGCATGATGAGCTGCCACTTGATTATAGAGGGAATGGAGCTGTCCGAGGTCCGCGCCTTGCCATCCAAAGATTTTCTGGGTTCGAAATAGCGACGTTGCGATCCAGTAGGCATCGTCCAGTTCCGGTACTATTTCATCGTTAGGTCCAAACCGCACGAGTCCTCCTGGACTTGTATCGCATATGTTATTCGTAACGCACCGTTCGTGATCTGAAAATATTTGCCAGCATCGTCTCTCATTTTGGATATGAAGCGATTGATGTCCGTTGGCGTTCCAAACTTCAACTCGAAAATGTGACCCCACTGCCAAAGTAGTATCTCATTCATCGCAATGCCAATACAATGCCGGTCGTTGGTAGAATCAAGACTGATCTCGCCAGTCTCCAGGCCATTCTCGCGAACACGTCTAACCCACAAGGCAATAGGCTTGTCGTCGGTGTTCGTGACCATGATTTCCCATTCAGCGCATCTGCCGAGGCCATGTTTACCAAGTCGCGTGTATACATATACGGCCTTGGCTTTTTCCGCAGTTATGTCCCAGTTGGCGTAGGTTGTAGGCATTGTGTGAATAATTTCAGTCATGAGGAGGGGGATTGGCGTGCTAAGAAATGTGCTACCTATGAGTTTTGTGGCCAAAATGAGGCGACTATGAATTTTTGAGTGAAATTAGTCCAGGCGGCCAAGCTCACTGCCTCAATAAATAGTTCCGGTCCATGGAAGCCAGAGAAATGAGTGAATATGCGAAAGTGATGCGCATTATAATGGGTGTACCATTCACTTCAGCCATAGTAGGATGTGTATGTTGCATCACTTGATGGTAATCCTTTGCAGCACCGTGATACATCCAGAGTCATCTCATCATCATCATCAAAATCATGAATTTGTGTATCATAGCCAGGCGTCTCGCCTGTGGATGTATACTTTGACGATTCATCATTGTAGTTTGGCGAGTTTCGTCGACTTCGAGTTTTTCACGCTTTTGTCGGGGTCCTCTTTGTACATGACATTCACACCATGTCGGTTGCTTTTTGTGATTCTTGTCCGCTCTGAGTTGCTCTATCATGGCTGCTTTGGAAGGCATGTTTGATATAGTTCGTTGCCCTAAGGTTTTGAGTAAAACAATATCGATGTATTGCAGTATCGCTTTCGTATTTGAGCAGGTCTAGAAATATCCTAAAGCTCAGACCCAAATAGACAGATTTTGCCAGCAACGAATTGGTATAGATTGAGTTTCCTAGTTAGAGATTGCACTACCAGCTTGTGTGGTGAGAGACAAGTCAGACAATTGAATCATCTCGCAACTTCTACGAGAGCACAACTTGATGCAGTCTCAATGTACGAAAGATTTCTTTTGCACAGAAACCAAGTGTGAGTGTTCTCTAGGGTCTGTAACGATTAAACTTGCCAACTGAGCCATCTAGCTTCATAACTGTGAATTTAAGTCGTTCGTGATCAGTGATTGCTGTCCCGATGAATGAACCATGGTTTGGATGCATGTTCCTGGTCTGACGGGCCCCCAGCCGCCAATGTTGAGGTTGACAGAGAGGAGAGGATCAGCGTCCAACATTCTTCCTAAACTCTAAGAATAGCATATACAATGGAAAGTCTTTTGTTTTGTGTTTCCAAATGGAGAACATTATGTTTGAATGACGTTCATGTGGAATTGGAATCACGATTGCGCTGCTTTCAACCATTTGCTTCTATTATTTGTTTTCTAAAATATCTTTAAGGTTGATCTGGCCACTACCTCGGGCAAGCGGCTGTGCCTGGTCCGCAGACTCCTTCCAGCCGATCATGTAAATCATTCTGAATGTGGCCGGAATTGTGCCGTCCTCGTTGCCATGCAGCTCACGATAGATGGCATCGGCAGCTAACAAGACATCTCGCCCTATAGGACCCATCTCACGCCCGAGAACAGCATTGCCCTCGCCCATTGCTTGCAGATCCTGCATCAGGGCAAAGATGTCGGGAAAATCAACGATAATATCGTCGACATCCACGCCGACCATCTTGAAGCCGACGCGTTGCAGTAGACCACCAACGTCGCGCACGTCTGCTAGAGGACTGACATGGGGCCCGATTCCGCCACGTCGCTCTTGCTCTGCGAGTTGCAACGATGTGCGCAGCTCAAACAGAGTATCTCCGCCAAGCATGGCACCCATAAATGCACAGTCGGGCTTGAGGACGTTGTTCATTTGCGCGAGGAGCCCCACGAGATCATTGATCCAGTGCAGACTCATGGAGCTGAGCACTAGATCGAAGGAGTTGGGCTCGAATGGCAGTGTCTCCTCGTCTTGTAAAATCTCCCTCGTCATGTTGATTTCCTTGTTGAAGTCCAGCTCGGCATCCCGGAAGAGGAGCGACTCGGAAGACTCGGCGGCCGTGAGATGGCCCACCCGGGAGACCAAGGGCGTCGACTCGGGCATGTTGGGGTCCTGTTCCAGATCAGGGGCGACGAGCGCACGAGCAATGTTGCACGAGTTTGCGCCAACGTCGAGAACCTTTGGATAGTTGCGCTTGATATCGAGAAGCCGCTCGCAGAGGCGCCTGGCCACCTCGTCCTTGAGGTAGTCGGCCGTGCGGCTCTGCTCGAGGTTGGAGGCGGCGCGCTCCTTTTGCAGCCATTTCGTGCGACGGTTAAAGACTTGGTGGATGGGAGCCCCCGCGGACGTGAAGGCGTAGGATCTCCGGGTCCATGACGGCACGGCGCAAGATGGCGAGACGACCGTAGAGGGTCGAGGGCTAGTCGGTGCCTTACATGCTCGGACAAGAGACGCGGCCGGTCTCCGAAAAGTACAGTTCATCCTCCCAGATCAATTGGTCGCTGCTTCACATTCTGGGGGAAAAGCTGGGGAAGGGTTCGAATGGGGCTCGCGGGGGTATTTTTTTTTCCCTCCTGCCGAGCTCCAGGCGCGTCAAAGTCGTGACGTTCGCAAAAGCTTGAGCAATCGACATGCACAAGAGCTTAAAGCTTCGATCCTTGTAAGAAGACTTGGCAGATTTGGGTGGTGGAGATGATCTAGAATAGAAACGGACTAGCGTGATTGTGAGTGTGCATATGTGATTGACAGGTCAAGCGGGTTAGGTACGAGTAGTAGTGTATATGTCGGGGACTGCTCTATGAGGAAGGACGACGTATCACACACACGTGGTTTGCGGAAGCGCTGGAAGGAGGACTCTTTGCTAACCGCTGAGATGTCATCAGGCCCAAGATGCAGCGTCGTGTCCCGTTAATGATTGCAGATGGTGGCCGGGTTCTGGGGAGTTTCACTGCACTCTGGGGTACTCAACTGTTGCCGCCAGACGGCCAAGCAATACATTTTACTTTATTTTAGGTACATATGGCGCCAGTGGACCGGGGGAGGGGAGGCAGGCAAGCGCGCTGCCGAGCCGTGAGACCTTGGGCGCCTCCCCACCTTAATGATTTCTACAGCCAAATTCAGAGTTCTTTTCCTACAAGAAAGCTTTCTGCAATTGGGCTGGTGATGTTTAATTGTGCGATCACATTTGCATTGTGCCGTTTTCGATTCAGTAACTCTTAGGATACTCGTGTGCAACAAAAAAACACGTTGAACGGGCGAATACTGATCTACGGACCTTCTGACGCTGCCCCTACCTTGCCCATCCATCCCCTCGCCCTCCTCCTGAGCCGGCAGCGGTTGATTGCATTCTAAAGGAGCCCACCTAATAAGGGTGCCCACCGACCTTCTACACCACTGCTCCGCAGTCCCGATCATGTCGGATTGACCCAATATCACGACGACAGCCGCAACTTGAGCGTGCTTCTTCTCCCGAATTTTCATTCTCCTGTTCTCCCGACTTCTCCGGTATCGAGCATAATCGAATTTCGAACCCGTGCGCCTCCCACCAACGGCGCTTGGAAGTGTGGCGCGAGATTCTGAAGCATTAGAAATAGGGGTGGGAAGCATCTGTACAACACCATGGCATCGTCAGCAGCAGCCGGCTTCCTCGGCCGGTCGAGCAACAACAATGCGAACATGCGCGGCTTGGTCCAATTTATAGCAGATCTACGAAATGCACGAGCGCGCGAGCTGGAAGAGAAACGAATCAACAAGGAGCTGGCAAACATCAGGTGAGTCGAACAAAGGACTGAGACTATGCATTTCCTGCCCCTTTAGCGCGAGCGCGCGCATGAGCAACAGAATGTACTGACTGGATATACCTGCCTATAGACAAAAATTCAAAGGTACAACAAGCCTCGAAGAACCGTACCGGTTTCTCCTAGAACAAGCTTTGGGCACAGGTCTGACATGGGTATTACAGATGGCAATTTGAGCGGCTACCACAAAAAGAAATATGTCTGCAAGGTAAATTGGAAATAGTCTGGCGATAGGTTGCGACTAGATGCTGACGACAAAGCGCAGCTGTTATACATATACATCCTTGGCTGGAACGTCGATTTTGGGCACCTCGAAGCCGTCAACCTGATCTCGGCCAACAAGTACTCCGAAAAGCAGATTGGCTATCTGGCCGTCACCTTATTCCTCCACGAGAAACACGAACTCCTACATTTGGTGGTCAACAGCATTCGCAAGGACCTACTTGATCACAATGAGCTCTTCAACTGCTTGGCCCTCCACGCGATCGCAAACGTCGGCGGTAGAGAAATGGGAGAGGCCCTTAGCGGAGATGTCCACAGGCTTTTGATCTCGCCGTAAGTGCACTGGTTCGTGATGCTCCTGCGGTTCCTTTGGCTAACCAAATCCCGCTCTTAGGACATCAAAAGCGTTCGTCAAGAAGAAGGCTGCCCTGACTCTTCTTCGCCTCTACCGAAAATACCCAGATATCGTCCAGCCGCAATGGGCAGAACGCATAGTATCCCTGATGGATGACCAGGACCTTGGTGTCGCTCTTTCTGTCACTTCTCTGGTGATGGCTGTGGCACAAGACGACCCTGACGCATACAAGGGTGCATACGTAAAAGCGGCTTCGAGACTCAAGCGCATCCTCATCGATGGCGACTACGCTGCAGACTATCTGTACTACAAGGTGCCGTGTCCTTGGATACAAGTCAAGCTGCTGCGGTTGCTTCAGTACTTTCCTCCGTCCGGTAGGTCGACCTACTCAAGTCAATGCGAAGATATATGAGCTGACAACTTGACAGAGGATAGCCACGTTCGGGACATGATTCGCGATTCCTTGCAGAAGATCTTGAATATTGCAATGGAGTCGAATAAGAACGTGCAACAAAACAACGCCCAAAACGCAGTACTCTTTGAAGCCATTGATCTCATCATCCATCTCGACACGGAACATGCGCTGATGCGTCAGATTTCATCACGCCTCGGCCGCTTCATCACTTCCCGAGAGACGAATGTGCGATACCTTGGTCTGGAGGCCATGACGCATTTGGCAGCACGTGCCGAGAATCTCGACCCCATCAAACAGCATCAGGACGTGATCCTTGGATCTTTGAAGGACCGCGACATCAGTGTCCGAAGGAAAGGTCTTGATCTACTGTACAGTATGTGCGACTCGACCAACTCTGGACCAATCGTTTCCGAACTCCTCCACTATCTCCAGAACGCCGACTTTGCAATTCGGGAAGAGATGGCTCTTAAGATTGCTATCTTGACCGAGAAGTACGCCACCGATATCCAATGGTATATCAACGTGTCTCTGCGTCTCGTCGCTGTGGCTGGAGACCATTTGAGTGATGAGGTCTGGCAACGTGTGATTCAAATTGTGACAAACAATGAGGAGCTGCAGGTCTATGCCGCTCAAAATACTCTGCAGCACGTCAAGCAGGACCACTGCCACGAGACCTTGGTCAAGATTGGAGCTTACGTCCTCGGAGAGTTTGGTCACTTGATTGCCGAAGAGCCCGGATGCAGCCCGATAGAGCAGTTCCTTGCACTTCAGAGCAAGCTGCCGGCCTGCTCTTCAAGTACTCGCGCCATGATTCTCTCGTCCTTTGTCAAGTTTGTCAACTTGTTTCCAGAGATCAAGCCTCAGCTTCTGCATGTGTTCGAGATTTACAGTCACACCCTGGACTCTGAATTGCAGCAAAGAGCGTGCGAGTATCTGACCATGGCAAGCCTCCCCACCGACGACTTGCTCCGGACAGTATGCGACGAAATGCCGGCTTTCCCCGAGCGACAGTCTGCCCTCCTTTCGAGACTACACCAGAAGCATGCCAACACGAGCGACAAGCGGACATGGGTTGTTGGTGGTAAAGATGCCAACGCTGATACATCCGAGCTCAACATGGCAAAGAACGGCGGTCTCAAGAGAACCTTCAGCTCCAATGAGCCGAATAGGAATGGGGCTGCCAATGGTACGAACGGAACCAATGGTCATGCAAGCAATGATCTTATGGGCTTGGATCTGAGCGCCGGCCCGAACGAGCAAAAACTGCTCAAGGCACCAAACCTGGCAAGTGCTGCACATCTCTCGCCTGGCTGGGAACAGGGCTACTACAAATTGCTGCTAAAGGCAGATGGAATTCTCTTTGAAGATGGCCAGATTCAGATTGGTGTCAGGTCAGAATACAGGGGTCAAGTTGCCTGTTTGATCCTCTACTTCACCAACAAGACACCCGCGCCAGTCACATCCTTCACAACGACTCTAGACTTGGACGAGAGCGAAAAGGAGAAATTGACGTGGGACGTGAAGAACATGCCAGAGAGTCAGATTGGGTCTGGTCAACAGGCTAGGGAGGTCATCATGTTTGAGTGCAAGAGGGTCTTTGAGAAGCCGCCTACGATCAGAATCAGCTACCTGGCCGGTGCGCTGCAGGCCTTGACACTGAAGCTCCCCCTTACTGCTCACAAGTTCATGGATCCTGCTGAGTTGTCGTCGGAAGATTTCTTCAAGCGCTGGAAGCAAATTGGTGGCGCGCCCCGCGAGGCCCAGCAAATTTTTGGTATTGTCGCCGGCAAGGAGTCGACCCGTGAGATCCACGACACTTTTATCCGCAAGACGGTCCAAGGTTTCCGATGGGGTGTCTTGGACAGTGTGGATCCAAACACGAAGAACTTTGTGGGCGCAAGTGTCATGCACACGAGTGAGGGTGGCAAGTTTGGATGTCTGCTGCGGCTTGAGCCAAACTACGCATCTCAGGTAAGTTATCACAACATATATCTGCTTGGAAAGATGGAGAATACTGACATGATTCCGCAGATGATTCGACTCACAATCAGGGCAACAGACGAAACTGTTCCACCAGTACTGCTGAAGCTGGTGCAAGACAGGTTAGCGCTTGGAATCTCAAAGAAAAAGCCGTTGGTAGAAGCTCCATCAAGGAGGGAGATTTCCGATGCTTTTAGCAACGTCATGGTTTCGTAAATGAGGTATAGGGGAGAGAGATGAGCTTGTGCAGAGTGGCAGAGAAGAGTAGGTAATCAATAGGCGACGCAAAAAAAACTTTGTCCTTATTTTTCTTGGGACATTGTCAACGATTGCTTTTTTTGTGTGGAATAAAAAATGCATCACAGGCGTGGCCGAGCACAAATGGTGGCGTTTCGCGGGATATCAAAGGCACCATAGCAAGACTTGAGCACGTACGTAGCTTTTATGCACGTTTACATAGGTTGATGATACTGTTAATACCGTCGACAAATTGATCCTGTAAACATGAGCCAGGACAAGGCAAGAGAAAATGTGGAAATGTTTGACAATCCTGTTCACCAGCCAGACGTGAGACCTGCCATTGTCACAATTTTCTACTTTTGCATAGTTTGAGTTGATCATGCGGCAACTATCATCTGAATATTGACGATTATCATCTTGCTTTTCACACAATAGTATTCATATTCAGCCTAGCACCTTGTGTTGTCGTGTGAATGAATGAATAGTAGTTTGAAAAAAATTCCATCAACCTCCCACAAAGAGATCAAGGTGTATGTAGATAATACCAAGTACAAATAGATGTGCAAACGAGCAGCTACCGAGGTCTGACCTGAAAAAACATTTGTCGAAGCTCGCCAATAATCATCTCGCTGAATTCCCCCAAGTCAACAACGTTGATACAAACGACGGGAGCAACAAGAGGCCGTTGTCTCGCCAGTGCCGCCGCATGTTCGTACCTCCAAAATTTCAACACTCTTTCATTTTTTGAGCTCTTCTTTATTGCTAGATTCGTTCCTTCTTTTTTTCAACACGGCGAGTCTTTCTTTACACAGCTCGTTTCTTTCCATCACAAGGAACAAAAACACTCGACGGAAGCGACTACGTATGTGCATCTGACGCACCATTGACAAGATGCACGACGGTGTTCATCCGACCGGCTTCCTCGACAAGCGCTCGCGCCGCGCTTGGAATGGCCTTCTCGTCATCATTGGCATCATCTTTGTGACCTTGCTTGGTAAGAATGATCACGATCAGAACACCCTCTGCCTCTAGCTTCTGCTGTTCTTTTTGGCGAGCAAAACTGACGACCATCTCCTGACGCAGTCATGGCCGGCGCAATGGTCCATGAGATCATCGAATTCCAGGAAAAGACTCCCGAGGATATCAACAACCAGGAACAAGCCAACACCTGGATGATTTACAAGCGAGCTGCCGCTGCCGTCGACGATGGCCATCATCCCAACGCCGTCCTCACGCTGGTCCCGACCCTTGAGACCGTCGACTCGACCCCTGGACATGAAACCAACGCCATGTCGGTCATGATTGAAACCCTCATCACCATTGTCACCCAGACTGTTTATCCCAACTCCCATACCTCTACCACCCCGACTCCCAAGCACCCCTTCGGCTCGACCTCGGATGCTGCTTCGAGCACCACTGGGTCCCCCAAGGAGCATCCGTCCGAGGCTACCGCTGCCACTTCAGGCACTATTTCGACTGATGCCGTGGTCAAGACTGGTCTGATGTGGTGCGCAGACGGGCAGCGCCTCAATGACGTCTACACGCCCTGCACCTATGTCTACACGGAGCCTCCGTCTCCCAACGGCCAGGCCCAGGCCACCGGCGCCGCCATGCAGAGCACTCCCGTCGCCTCCTCTGCTGCCGGGCGCAAGCGTCCCTTGAGCTTGGTGCGGATCTGTCTGGACATCGCTCAATGGTCTATTGACAATTTCCCCGGATGGCATCCCGCCATTGACCACTATGCCAGCACCCACTCCCCGCATATCAATACCTTTGAAGACAAGCTCCGAAAGGCATTCAACAGACGTGTACGTCAAGACTCTCAGTACCGGCAGGCCGAAGCCAAAATGCAGCACTGCGTCGTCGCGGCCATGAAGATATGGACGGAGGCTGCCGTGCACAGCGCCAAGCTGCCGATCAAGGGCGATACCTCTGCCTGCGATGAAGAATTGAAGATCGAGATGGCTGCCCTCGAAGAGCAGATCCTCGAGTTGAACCGCCAGCTGGATACGTCCAAAGACGATCTCGACAAGTGCCAGAGAGCCTTTCCCCACCACGAGGGTACCAATATTCTACTCATATAAGAGTCACTTCTTTGTGAGCCCCGACTTTCTTGTCCGAGAGCACATCATGTGAGAAACTCTCCCGAGATTGTATACATGTTTGTATGCACGATGGGTCGCAGTACAACCTTTGGTTGGGGATTTGGTGGCAATGCTTTGGTTTGAGGAAGTGATTAAAAACTCCACTTTCCTATGAAGAAATGTAAATAAAGAGTCTCAGGCTACTTGATGCCTGTTCCTGAAAAACAGGCATTGGACTTTCTGTCTCTCTGCCCCACCAGCCTTTTCTACGAAAATGGATATCCCAATATACAGTTCGGTTGATGGAGAAATCATTCTTCACTTCGTGCAATCGTGATTCTCGAATGTAGACAAATGTCCTTGGTGTAACGAATTTTCTTCGGCTTTGAAGATATCTCAAGACTGGCCAGATGCCTTGATTATGTTGCACTTTGACTAATTATTCAAGACTAACTAAAGTAAATAGGTAGTCATGCACTGATTGATTATCGTACCATAATATTATTTCATCCCTCTTTCACGAAATGATGTCGACTAAAAGGCTAAACAACTTTTGTCTTGAAAACTTTTGATCTGCGTCATACTTGATGCAAGTCTGCTATTCAACCGGCGTGGACCCAATGCTTCCAATGTCCAATGCAATATCAACATCCAACGCCAACAGTATCGTAATCACCGCATATCCCTACCAAGGATCAAATCAGAACTCACAACCAACCAAACTAAAATCTCTCATCTCCTCGAATCCCAGCCAGTCTGGTTTTCCAGGTCCATTCTGGCATGATTAGACTACACTCTCATACACCCGTCCATGACCAAAAGATGGCTCTGTCCCTTACCAATATACGTTCGACGCTTGAGGATAGAAGGGGCCGTTGTTATACGAGCAAGCATGAAACGACGAAGACGAGCAGCCTTCAGTGCATGCACCAGATGTCTCGTCCACATCCGTCAGGTGGACAGACGGGATCGGGTATGTCGACATTGCCCAGCCCACTTGCGCCCATGGCTCTGTCACTGTCGACGCCGATTCAAAGCCCGAGTCGGTATCTTGAGTCTTGCCAGACTCCTCCGGTGTCTGTGGCTGTGGCTGTGGCTGTGGCTGTGGTTGCGTCGGAGGCACCAGCTGGGGAAGGGTACCGTCGTCGCCGCTCGAGCGGTCGTTGCACGGCGTGTCGCAAGTGCACGCCTTTTCCGGGTCGTGATTTGGACAGGTTTCGTCTCTCCGATGTTTCACTAGAATCTGCAGTGGGATCAAGATGGCAAAGATTAGGGAGACGTAGAGGTCTGTTGTGCCCCAAATGACGAATTGGTAAGACGTGACTGTGAAAAGAGATCATGTGTCAGCCTTTTCAACTTCTAAACGTGACTTTGGTGGGTGGATGTATAGATTAGACCATCACTTACAAGTCATGTCGCACCAATTGGGCCATTCCATGATCTCCAAGAAGGCAACAAGGCTAAAGACTAGGCTATTGCGTAGTGATTCGAATTAGTATACGACACACGTTCGGGTGAGGCGCAAATCTCAAAACTTACCAGCCGAACCACACCAGGAGACTTGAATGAAAAATAGCCCAGGATCCATTCTTCAAGTACTCGCTCATATGAGTCAGAGGCAGCAACAGAGCAAGACCATAAGACATGTTCTTCCAGAACAGCGTGGTAATGTAGATGCCGTTCTCAACCGAGGCGCAACGCTGTAGATTCGCGACAGTGGTACCCGGGAATTCTCCCGTGAGGCTGAAAAGTTGCATGCCGAACCACAAGATGCTGAAGGAAATGCAGGTCCAACCAAGGGCGGAATTGATGCTCCGGTCATAGAGGCGAAACATGGCGTGCATCGAAATCATCTGGACGAAGAAGCTATCAACGGCCCAGGCGGTCGACCAGAGCACCAAGGATTTGAAAAAAGCAAATTGATCCTTTCCGACGGGTGAGGATGAATGGGTTCCTAGGCCCTTTTCGACAAGATCTGTGTTCATTCCGACAAGTAAGCATCTGAAATACTCCGTGTTTGGTGTGTGAATGATGAATATATACCGAAATAGAGCCAGGATTGTCCCACGACACATCCTGCCCAGACACTGAATGGAAGTATCAGGTTCATTAGACAAGAGGACCTGCGGACACGCCACTCGGCGAAGAATCGCATGATCACGGCAACAAAGGAGACAGAAAGCAAAGAGATGAGGGTGTATAGGGGTGCATCCCTGCGAGCTCTCATCTCGCTTCCATCGAAGAACATGGTGTTTTCCATTGTTTCTACAAAGGCAAAAAGGCAGTTTACGCTAGCAGGTGTGTGAGAAGAGTGAAAGGATGGGAAATGGGACACCAAAGAGGCAGCTCAATAATGCCTGTGCCAGAGTCTTATATAGAAAAAGGGAATACCTTGCTAGACGCCCCGTGATTTACCCTCGGGTCCCTAAATGCAGTCTTCGGGCCAGAGCAATGCAGGAACAAAAAGTCAAACACTAGCCTCTGTCAAGGTGCGAATTCGGGATATCGTGCCACAACCTAATTATCAGTCATGTAAAAGGAGTCACTGGCCCCGGGTGGATGTGGAATGGCACGTTACAACACATACCACAGCAATCTTGAATACATCTTCTATGGGGACTGAAATGAAGCAGATGGTTGTGTAAGCAGAATGGTACTAAACAGAGTTGAGATAGCTGTGGGATCTTCAATATCTCTTACCATATTTTGGGAGATCTTGATGGTAATCAGTCAAAGATACATTAGCCATCAAGGCCATCCAGAAACAAGAGATGCCCCTTGAACAAAATTTCCAGGAACTGACGGCTGACTAGAAATTTTCGAATACCACCAGCTGTGCAGGGCAACATGATAAAAAGGATCGTGTTAAGCAATGGGCTATGATTATTCCCCAACAGCCAGCTACAACCATCCGATAATCAACCTCGTTCCGACTTCTCAGCTATTTCAGAAAGTTCAAAAGCTCTTCGAAACATATTGAACCTACCCGAACCCGTGACGTTACAATTTCTCCAAATGCTGATGACACATGATAATACTTTATACACTTTCAAGCACCATGGCCACAAGGTAAAGGCTCGAATCCCGCGCGTCTGAGAGGTTCCTGATGCGCAAATCCATTTTTTATAATGACGGATATTGTGAAGGTAGTGGTCATTAGGGATGACATTTTGCGCCTAACATCCGCTGGGGATTTGACGAGCTGATGGACTTACAAGGAGATTCATACGATCCGACTCGGGACTTTTCAAACTTTATGTGGATAAATGACTTGCTCTATGAAGGATATCCTGCTCAGGTTGTCTAGCTGCAGGAAATGACAGCGCCCTTTTCATGGGTGGACTCTTTCTCTCCCACCGTCAACATTTACACCTTTCTCCAGTCCGTCATGCATCGGCCAATGCTGCCCAGGCCCGCAACGTCAACAACCTTTTCGTGCCAGCTCAACAAGACGCTCATGGCCGCACCAGTCGACTCATTGGCAGCGCCCGGTCGGCCGGACATCTGGCTGAAGCCAGTCGCTTGTGGGGTCACATTGCTGCCTGCCCGTGTAGGTGCCTTGAGTCCGCTGGAAGCGCTCATGCCCTTGTACCTGTAAGAACAATCTGTGGTCAGTCCCCTTTCTCCGTTGTGCGCTCCTCCCTCGATCATCGTTTCGTCTGGATCATACGTACAAGTACTTGGTCAGTACGTCGAGGAGCTCGCTGCCGCCTTCTGATGCGTAAATGCGTTGCAGCATCGGCGTCATTTCGCTCGCCTTGATGGACTGCAGAACTTCGAGAACTGTCTGGAGATGTGCGTCCTAGATTCCGAGGGGCTTCCCCCTCGTCAAAGATCAGCCCATTGTGCTTTCTCCCTTCAGATATCGCTCCAAACCCCCCCACCATACCGACATTAAAACCCCGTCTTGGGAGTCGTTATGTGGCAAAAGGCCGCAACACGAAACCCTCCTTTCCTTTTTCTCATCTTTGCCTTACCTTTGTAGCCTCATCACTATTGTAAACCGGACTCTCGAGACAGCCCCTCAATGCGCCCTCGGCATCGCCGCCCCTGAGGAGCTGGCGCACGCCCTCTTTCAGCTGGCGGACGTCGGCATCGCTAATCTCGGGCAGCGGCGGGTGCAGCGTCGACGTGTCAAAGTTTTGCGAAGAGTCCGGGTCGAGGGCGTCGATATTGATGGTCCTCCACGCATCGGTGAGCGACGACGCCGTATGTTGCTGAATGATGGACATGATTGCTTCTTCTTCTTCGCCTTGTTGCTCGTTGGTTGGGTTTCGTCCTTTCTTATTGTGGAAAGTGTTGCGCTGCGATTCGTGTGACTGATTTCCAAAACTTTTGCGCACGACAGATGTCTGGAATTCCTTGATTCGTGCAATTGATTTTGGTTTCTGCAGTTGGTTGGGTACTGGCTGGGGAAATCCAGAGGTCGCTGATGATGTCGGTAGACGTGCAATGGGGTTAATGGCGGGGCCTCGACGTTGGCTGGGCTTGGAGCTCCTGAGCTGCTGCGGGGCGAGGCTATCAGGCTTCTAGTGCAAGGAGAACCTCAGCTCAGGGAGGTTCACTGACGAGCGAGCAGTGGGTGGACCTTGGCACCCTCACTAGACATTAGCTTGGTTATGTGATTACCTAATAAAGTATAGAAGGTTATCGCAGCACCGCCACAATCAACAAGCGCTGGAGTCTACAGTGTCAAAGCCCTCCAAGGTTGTATGGTCAAATTATCATAAGTCCATAATAAAATACAAACAACAGCCGTTCTTGTTTTTTTTTTTGTGGAAAGTGAACAGTCTCTGTAATACTCGTGAATGAATTCCAACTCATATCATTAGTAGTATCGTAGGAAACGAGCCTTTCCCAAGACTTTGTCATATAGGCCTTTGCCCTTACATGACTGCCAAAGAAGCGAAAGTAGAAACACACCCGCAGCCCTCTCTACTATGCTATCGACCAACTCATTGGCAAATTGCTCTTCCATTATGTACAGCTTCTGAACCACCCCGTCCTCGTGTAATTGGTACCCGTTGTGAGCCTAATATTGTATTGCTGCAGTGAATGTCTTTTCAAGTTTAGGTAATTTTATCAATGTCAACTTTCCAGATCTAGCTCTGCCCGTGATCCAATAGATTTAGTTCTCAAGACTGTCGTGTACCTCTCCTTTCAGCCAAACGCTGAGACTGTCCTACTCTGGCGTTCCCGGCCCCATGGTCGCCAAAAGACCAATTGAATGTGATTGCATGTGAATCTGCGACCAATTCCTGACGAATTCTCATACCCTTATATACTAGTGCTTTTAGTAATTATCGGCCAAGCTCAGGTTTCTTGCGTTCTGGCAGGTTCATTGCAGGGGCAATCGAGGCCTCAGTGTAGTCGTTGCCAAGGGGACATTTCTTTGAAAATCTCGTCGCAAACTGTTTTCTTAAAGTTTTGTCGGTTCAAGAAATCTATTCTCGGAGAGAGGTAGGTCAAGATGGAAGAAGCGAGCCTTTTGATTCGAGAAATGCTATGGTTGTCCTTTGACTTTGTCTTGTCCAGGTATTCTACAACATTCCTCTGCTCAACGCTGGCTCAAGTTGCGAATATGCTACGTCTCCAAGTAAGCAAAGACATGTGTTATCATCTTGCCACGACATCACATAGCGTAGAGAGACCAAAATATGGAAGCTTTCTTGGCTTTAGAACTCGTCGAGCCTTTTTCTTGAAATTTTCCTAGTCCTTCTGTCCCAAAGCTTGTTCAAACGCTTTCGTAACGGCGTCGCTCTTTTAGGATTTTTGGGTAGGACAAGCTTCTCGAGCTTCTTGAATGCGGTAGCCATCTGATTGCATTCAGAGGCCAGTTGGGCCAACTCGTCTCCAGAGTCAGAGGTTTCTATAAGACCGAGCAAGAGCTTTTCTAAATTATCTAATGTCCGTTTTAGTGCTTCAAGACTTCACCGGCAAGTGGTAGCAGTCTTTTAATATCCTGCCTGGACCGAGGCGGTGCCATGTTTGAGCATTCACCTAAGTTTGGCGATGCCAGGAAATGGTCTCATGATAAGTGATACACATGCATCATCATGGCCAATCATCTCGAAGATACCTTGGTTGACTACCTTTCCATTGTTGCAAGTTCCGCACCTGGACCTTTTATTTGGAGTGACAGAAAAAAGTCATATACCAACAATACCCGCATCATGTAACCATATAATGTCACACAGGTAGCCAAATACATAAAATAAATCGACCGCACCACTGAATTCAGCTTGAAGTTACCACCCTACGATGTACATGCTTGTCGTGTTGCTATGCTAGTAATGCTGTATCGAGAGCAGCGGATAGAGAAAGCAGCAGAGTCCGAAAGAGCCATTCTCACTTCATACTAATACCGTGTTGACCTTTGTTACGAATCTTGATGGTTCAACTGTAAGACCTGCGTCTATAAGGGCGTAGTGCGTGTTGCAATTGTCAGCTGGAGAGCTAGAATCCATTGGAGAGTTGAACAGCTTTCAATCTATTGACTAGGTAGTATGGAAACCAGCCGGGCTGGCGGTTGGACTGTGGAACCAACCAATCAAATCACCGTTATAATTATTATAATAACGTGTAAAAAAAAATCGAAGATATTCATTCGCGGTAAATCTTCCGTGAAATAATAGAGATGTCCAATAAGATCTGGAATAGGAAAAAGAAAAAAAAAAAAAAGAACTTGAATAGTTTGGGCTTTATTTTTATCGTATTCTGGTTTGTTTCAGCTGACCTCAACCTTGTCTCAGCTGTAATGAGTTGCCAGTGGGCCGAAATGCCTGTCTGCTATGGCCGTTTTTTTATCTAACGTGGCTGGAGTCTGGACTGCGCAACGGCACCCAAAACCAACGCCATTGCCCAGGGTCGTCATCCCCTGATTAACCACTTTTCACAACAGGCAAAGTATCAAAAAAAACTACCTCATCAGTGCCATCTGATTCTCACACCTGGCCCATGTCCACAAAAGCAAGGAACCTGATCCAAACTCTTGCTTGAGACAGTTCTCGGAACGTATCCATTCGTACTTGGCTCTATATCGGCAACCTGCACCCTGCCATATTGCCATAAACCTGCTCGAGCGTTGCTCCGGCGCAATACGCCCATTCCCTCGACGGGATTAGGATGCAATCCCATGGTTGCGGTAAGTTCCACGGGTTCATGTACGCCAACTTGGATATCCGACCGGACGAACCCAAGCAGACAGTTCCAGATCGGATCCTTGCCTTTGAACAATATGGCGGCAAAATCGCTTAAAAAACGTGGGCCATATCATATATTCCAAACGACGCGCCATCGAGATGGGATAAGAAAAGAGACAGCAAACATGGACAAGGAAAAACTCAATACGGTAGAGCAGCCCGAAACGCTGGCCATGATTCCCTTCAGCCCTGTCCGCCTCCCTGTGTCGACGGCCCTTTCTTCCAAGTCCGGTTACCATGGTCCGAAATTTGCAGATCGGGGATTTGTCGTCCTGACTGGGCTGACCTGCACCGAATTCATCTCGCTCATCGCAACTATGATGCCGCTTTCAGGCAAAGGCAAGTTTTCTCTAACTTTGTACAGAGCAGTGATGAGTGCATTTGCAGATCAAATACTGCACTCACTCTGCCACGTGGATAGGGTAAGCCATAGAAGCAGGAAGATACTGCAGGGTGCACCAGTGAGAATAGCCGCGAGAAAGCTTGCCGGCTTGCGACAAGACAGATCAGACGGGCAGGTTATTAGATGTCGAAATATACAAAGTATACAATCTTACAACTCGTATATGAGTAACACGATTCGCCTGTTGCTTGTCCCAAAGAACAGGCAGGCAGGCAGGCAGGCAAGCTGCGGCACCAGCCCTGGTTGCTTTAAAAAACGTGGAAGCAATCAAGCGAGCGATCGGCACTTAAGCGAGTCGCATCTCGCTTTCTGCTTACCGTTTTTTTTTTTTTTTTTTTTTTTCCTTTTTGGCAACAGCAATTGACTTTCAAGACTTACCGGTGTGCCAGGGGCTGTCTCTTCAAATCAATGTAAGAGTCAGAGATAAACCCATGCGAACGAAGAAGCAAGAAGCGTTTGAGCATGCCGAACAGAAACGGCTTGCTGGAATCCAAGTGAATGTTGTCGAGTTGCGATCATACCATACATGGAAGATCTTTGATGCAACGTCAAAAGTACCCCGTAATCTGCATACAACAGCAAATGTCAATCACGTACCATTGCTGTCGAAAAGCATCCTACAGGAAGCGACATTTCGTCGCAATGCATCTGCATGTCTATGGCTAGGATTGCATGAAAGATTTCGACACTGCAATGCATCCTCTCGAAGTGCCGAGTCAGCGTAGGTTCGCCGCGTGAGCACAATCCAACATCAAGGATGACAAACAATTTCTGCCTGGCTTACAACAAGTATCAGATGTACGAAAGGATGACAGCATCATCTCCCGAGGGGGGGCGGGAGCATACGCAGAATAACGATTCGGTCAAATATCTGTTGGTTTGTCAATACCTCATCTCGCTTTACTGAAATGGTTGCAGATCATCTTCCTTGCTGGTGAACCGGATTGCCGGGCCTCATAGCCCATTGACTCGGGTTGATCTCACTGTCGCTCTCCTTTTCCCAACCAGGAGAAGAAAAATTCTTCATTGACACGTCAATCAGTCAGTCCCATTAGCGAAAAAGCAATAGTAATAGGAGGAGACGAAACAAACAAAAACAGAACCGAATGAAAAAAGCCTTTTGCGACTATTTCTTGTCTAGCTCGAGATTGATCAATTCGTACGTACTTTGTGAGACGGGATGGGTTCCCCGGAGCCAACATTAAGCAGGGGGCCAAGGGTATCTCGGCGCTTGTCAGAGACGAACCCTTTGATTGCGACAAGGGAGTGGCCAGCAAACCCTGTGTAATGTTAGTCTCATGAGAAAGTTTACTTGCCACGTACAATAATGATATGATGCTCGTTCTGCTTCAGCAACAACCAATGCGCGTGATCTGCCAATGATGCGTTTGGTCGATCTGTCGAACATGACTCGAGATATGACAATATTGATGTCTGGGCCTGACTTGGGTGTGCATTGTCAAAAAGATTTATTTGACAGGTGTTAGCCTCAGTTAATCTTTCGTCGGTGGAGTTCGTCCTACTTAACGGTGTTGACCGCGGCCGGGGGGGAATGCTCGTGTGGAGCTGTTCATCAGTTTCTGGAATCTCGAGAGAACATGTCCTGTGTGGCCCTAGTGTAGTAGTG